TGTACTCATGTCAAGACAATAGGAATAAACTTAACAGAAGTGCAAGACTTGTACACTGAAAACTACAAAACATTGTTGAATGGAAAAATATTCCATGTTTATAGTTTGGAAAACTTAACATTGTTAAGATGGCAATATTCCCCAAATTGATCTACCTATTCAATGTAATCCCTATAAAAATCTCAGTTGACTTTCTTGCAGAAATTCACAAGCTGATTCTAAAATTCATGTGGTAATGCAAGAGTCCAGAATGGACAAAACACTCTTAAAAAAGAACAGAAGCTGGAGGACTCATGCCACCCAAATAAAATTTTACTACAAAGCTACAGTACTCAAACAATATGGTACTGGCATAAAGATAGACATGTAGACAAACAGAATAGAACAGAAGTCCAGAAATAAACTCTTATGTTTACGGTCAATTAATTTTCAACAATAGTGCCAACACAATTCAGTGGTGAAAGAATAGTCTTTCCAACAAATAGTGCTGGGACACTGAATATCCACATGTAAAAGAAGGAAGTTAACTTCTTACCTCAAATCATATATAAAAACTAACTCAAAATGGATCATAGACACAAATATAAGAGCTAAAACCATAAAACTCTTAGAAGAAAACAGGTATAAATCTCTGTGAGCTTGGGGTAGGCAACAGTTTCTTAGATATGATCCAGAAGCAGAGCAACAAAAGAAACAAACAAATTGGAATACACCAAAATTAAAAACCTAGGTACTTCAAAATACACCATTCATAAAGTGAAAAGACAATCCACAGAATAGGAGAAAATATTTGCAAGTCATGTATCTGATAAAGGACTTATATACAGAATATATAAAGAATTCTTACAATTAAATAAAAAGACAAACAACCAAATTAAAATAAGGGTGAAGGATTTGAGAAAACATTTCTCTAAAGAAGATATACACATGGCCAATATGCACAGGAAAAGATACTTAACATCACTAATCATTAGGGAAACCCACATCAAACCCACAATGATATCACTTCACATGCACCAGGAAGGCTACAATCAAAAACACAAACAATAACAAGTATTGGTCAGGATGTGAAGAAACGGGAGCCCTCATATGTTGCTGGTGGGAATGTAAAGTGCTGTAGCCACTCTGGACACATTTGGTAGTTCCCCAAAATGTTAATATGACCCAGCAACCCTGCAATTCCACTTCTAAGTGGAAATGACAACAGGGGTCTGCAAAAATTTATACATGAATGTTCTAAGCAGCATTGTTCACAATATCCAAAAAGTGGAAATGACCCAAGTGTACATCGATGATGAATAAACAAACTGTGGTCTATCCATACAATGGAATATTATTCAGCCACAAAAAGAAATGAAGTACCAGGCGCCGGCCTGGTGGCGTAGTGGTTAAGTTCTTGCCCTCCACTTTGGCGGCCCGGGGTTCGCAGGTTTGCATCCTCGGCACAGACCTACGCACCACTTATCAAGCCATGCTGTGGCGGCATCCCACATATAAAGTAGAGGAAGATGGGCATGGATGTTGGCCCAGGGCCAATCTTCCTCAGCAAAAAGAGGAGGATTGGCAACAGATATTAGCTCAGGGCTAATCTTCCTCACCAAAAAAAAAAAAAGAAGAAGAAATGAAGTACTGATACATGCTACAACATGGATGAACCTTGAAAACATAATGCTAAGTGAAAGAAGCCACAAAAGACCATATATTATATGATTTTTTAATATGAAACGTCCAGAGCAGACAAATCTATTAAGACAGAAAGTTGATAAACGGGTCTTATCTGGGAGGAAGGTGGAATATGAGAACAGGGGGTCACCGCTAAAGAGAACAGGGTTTCTTTTTGGATTGATGAAAATGTTCTGAAACTGGATTGTGCTAATGGTCACACTACTCTGTAAATATACTAAAAACAATTGTACATTTTGAAATTTATGGTATGTGAATTATATCGCAATAAAGATTTTAAAAACTATACATCTATCTCAATATATATCTTTATCGAGCTGTAACTCACATGCCATAAAATATACAAAAATACATTTCTTAAAACATCAGAAAAACATATGAAAGGAATCAACCTGTTAAAACAGCAAAGCAAGCAGATGTAGGCAGACCAGCTGGCAGACGTCTGCAACAGTCCACTTGAGAGATTGCGCTGCCCTGGACAAGAGCGGTGCTGGTAAAGAAGAGCATGGAGAAAAGCAGGAAGATTTCAAGGCCACTGGGGGAAGGCTGGAGGATAACCGAGTCGTGAACGATGAGGAAGGTAAAGGTATCAAGGATGCCTCGCATTACCCATTTGCTTGTTTGCTCTATTTCTGCCAGAAGTTGTTCTGACATGGTTCACAAAGATGATCTTTGAAATGGGTCACAATTATGAGTAGAAGCTTGCCAGACCGGGAGAAGGCTGGTAAGAGGGACAGAGAGGTCATTCATTCCAGGAGATCCGTGCAGAAGCACAGACACATAAAAGAGCAGGAAAAGGCAAAGCTTAGGTACAGCTGAAGGGAGATGCATGGACTGTGAAGGCTGCCAGCTGTGAGGATGGGCAGGCAACAGGCAGCCACTAGAAGATTTTAACTGAGCAGAGAAGTGATGCTTGGCCTTAAAAAAAAGGTAACCCCAGCACCGGTGTGAAGAATAAACTGGGAAGGAGAATAACTGGAGACCCGTTGACGTATAAAGGAGGCCACTGCAGGAGACCAGGAGAAACCTTTGTAAACCATGACCAAGACTGCTGCTCTAAAACTCTGAGTAGGCTGGACAACAATGCAAGAAAACAACCACTAAGAATGGCACACCACAAACTGTGCCTCACAACCAATTACAAATGTGGAACCCAGACAGCAGCTGAGGGCTGATGTATTGTGCACTCGCCCCCCTCCACCAGCCTAAAGGGGCCGACAGGGCAGACAGCAGTCTGGGGCTCCTCTGACCCAAGAGAGTTCTCATATTCCCTGCAGGCTGCTCAGAGCACCAAATTTTGGACTCCACTCTACGAGAAGCCAAGACATCAAGAAGATGCCTTCACCTGCAGTATCCCTGATCTCATGTTTTTCTTTGCACTGCTTATTGCTGGTTCACCAGGAAGGCAAAGCAAAGCATATATATTAGCCAACTCTAAGTTGTTATTCTTGCTGATCCTCAAAGGACGCTGGGTCAATTTTCTTAAGAAACCATAATTTCCTGATAGCTGATTTTTACAGTTCAGGTAACTGAAAACATCTGAATTTATTAAATTGTTTTGTATGCTCTCATTTCTTCCCTTTGATCCATATGGATCCTAATTTAAGGACTTCCCAGACATTTTAAGAAAATTTACTTTCAATTTGCATTCAAGTCATAAAGACAAAAAAACAGAGACTACGGTGCATATTACTAGCTGTACTTGCAATCCCTTTGTATCTAATGTACTGCTGGTACACCTAACCTAAGTGAAACCCCAGCGAGACTAAGCTTACCCAAAAGACGGTGGCATTCACGGCTCTAATCACTGCAGTGCCCATCTACTTTCCAGCTGAATTTCTCAATATTCTGCCTGTCATGCCACACTACAGCCATACTCGCCTTATGCCATTTCCCCAAAACACCACACATGTTCACATTCCATGCCTTTGACCATGCTCTTGTCTCTGTCTGGAAATAATAAACAAATAACAAATGAAATAACTCATCACACTCCAGAGCACCCTCTACGAGCTAGATACTTAATGGGCGATTTATATTAACGTTCTCATCTAATCTTCACAGCAGCCATACAAAGTTGATATTATTTTTCCTATTTTACACACGAGAAAGTTAAGGCACAGAGAAGTTTGCCTAAGAACCCTCACTAATGTCAAATTCCATTGCCTAGTAAGGAATGCCTTGAAACTCGTTTCATCTGGCAAAACCGTAACTTGACCCTCAGATTCTCCCCTCTCAGGTGTTCTAATCTCCCCAAACATAACTGATCATATGCCCCTTGCGGGTATTATAGTCCTTTGCTCTCACCAAGCCTTTAAAATTAATATAGCCTTTTTAATCGCCAGTATCTTCCTCACTACACTAAGAGCAGCTTAAAGACAGCAATCAGGACTTAACTCGATTTGCAATTCTGAGTAACAGATTACAGGGGCTCAATAACTGCACGTCAAAATTAAATGACTGGTCTTCTGGCAAACTGCTATTCCACCGTTCATGACCCCCTTGGCTTGTCCCAACACAGCAGTGAAAGAAATCGCTTCCTCAGGAATCCCTCCGCAGGGCACTATCCTCTCACAGCCCTTCCTCCCACTGTACTGTATTGCTAACGCATCTGACTCCTCCCACTGTAGGTAACTCAAGGGCAAGATCAATATCATGCACAATTGCGTCCCCAGAAATTAGCCTGGTTAACTGGAAGACCAAAAAATGATCAAAACTGTTCAACTGAAGTAGAATAGTCCCCCAAAACTGACTTTCTAAGATAAAATGGACAAAAGGAAAAATTGCCCCAGCTGAACAGCTTTAAGATTCTTCAGAATAACCAAGTGCATTCTCACTGCAGGTTCTAAAACTCTCCCCGATACCTGAGTTGACAGAAAGCAATTACAGAGCAAGAACGAAACCTGGAAGCACGATCCGGGGTTTATTGACCTTGGCTCGTCTAGAGACGAGGGCGTGATCTGCATTCTGTCTTCGGCGCCGAGAGGGGCCACCTTGACAGGTAAGCCGCCCGGCAGCCCACCTTTGGGCACTGAAAGCACTAAAGACGCGCGATGCTGGGGTGGGGGAGGGAAGGGGCCTGGACCGCCCGCTCCGCGGACACTGACGTCAGCCCGGCCAGTCGACCTTGCGCCCCCTTCCTAGGACCGGCGGCCGCCGCGCCGCGCCCCTCACCTCGGTTCTCCTCCTCCAGATACCGCACCCGCAGCTCGTCCTCCGTCTTCACCTCAGAACTGTAGCCCC